TCTAGGGACAAGACTCCAAGGAGATCAGGAGTTCATGGCTACCATGACAACTATGAACCTGTCCCAAGTCATCCAGTGACCCAAAGATATAACAATGGTCATATGTTTGACCTGGCTTTTCTGTTGGGATAGTGTCAGGGTCCTGTGGATGTGAAGGAGATATTGCTTTCTCTTCCGATCACTCCCTGGAGAGCCTCCAGTTCTTTGTCACAACTTCCCTCCACAAGATGGCTGGGACTATTAGATTATCCCACCGCAGGAGACTCTTGGACCCAGTTCGATTTCCAAAGGAGTTCAGGGTTGTTTTGGAAAGTTTGCTACATGGTCCAACCAAAGTCTTGGTGGCTGCTTGAAATGGGACAGTCAAAATGTCATGCAAAATGGATTGATTGACTGAGTTTAGATGTTCCCAGGACAAATATGATAATATGGAATTAATTTAATTCTGTATATGACTAGGTCCACTTGGGGCTAAATTCAACTGTGAATGAACAGGGTTCCCACAAAACTCTTGACCCAGCTTTTGATTCTGTTAACTGTGTTGTGTGAACTAATAAATAGGTCATAGAATTAATAAAAGCGCAGACAGAACTGACAAAGCCTCTAATCTTGTCTTATTATTATTATTATTATCCAAGCAGAATCTGCTTCATACTTCAGATTGTTATGCATTGGCTTTGTTTACACTATCATAATGGTGGAATAATGATCATATTCTTCACAAAGAACAACAGTTATTGCTGTTCTCTTATATTAATCTTCAAGCACTCTAGAGTATGACTTTGCTTGCTAAAAGCTCATTCCTAGCTTAAAAAGAACGTAGAAATTTGTCAATTTTGTACATTCAGTTAATTGGGGCATAAGCTGCAGGCCTGTAGTGCTTGCTACAATACCACAGAGCTCACAGGATTGTTAATTTCTTGTCTAAAGTGAGAGATGGACTTCAGACCTTGAAGAGGAAAATCAGACCGCTGTTCTCTCCCCCAAAATAGTTTTTGCTATTTGGAGCATCCTGTTTTCAAGAAACCCCTATTTTATAATGTCCCTGGAGAAGGTATAGTGGCTGTGGTTAATGATAGATGGGATTTGCTACCAAGAATCCTAAATCTTTCAAGATCCCGGTATGCTTGCAGTCAAACTGTGAAGATATAAAGGTAAAGGTTCCCCAATCACACATGTGCTAGTTGTTCCTGACTCTAGGGGGTGGTGCTCAATTCTGTTTCAAAGACAAAGAGCCAGCGCTGTTCGAAGATGTCTCCGTGGTCATGTCTAAATGCCAAAGGTGCATAGAACGCTGTTACCTTCCCACCAATGTGGTTCCTAGATTTTAGCGCATGATGAGTGGAAGAAAAAAAAAATCTGCTTATATAGTATAGGTGCCAAACTACTTCAGCTTGTATTTGCATTCACTGCCATATGCACAATTTAGCTTTTGGCATGTGCAGTGCTGGATTCTGCATGTACTGAACAGAATAAATTGTTTGGAGGCCCACATTGGTAATGTTTTCCCCACGTCTAGAAAGATTTGCAGAGATAATGCAACTTAGGCCTTGTGTTATTTACAACATCCAAGATCCTGAGAGGAAACAAAAAATGGCTATCCCAAATCCTTCAAATACCAAGGAACTGGGAGAATTCCAAATGAAACAGGGGGAGAATATTAAATGAGCAAATCTGCTACTCAACAAATAAAACCCGAGTTAACAAAGAGTGTGTGTGGCATGGTTGTGTGTGGATATTGGCAATGGGTTAAGGAATGCCATTTGTTGGATGTGGAGATGATATGCCAAGCCAATCTTGAATGAAATTCTGCAAATCCCACTCAGTTTAAACTGTTTTTCAGTTTTCACTTTTGGGTAATGAAATTGGCTCGAACTGCCTTCTGCAGCTGCCATTAATTTCCAGAGGACAGGAGCAGAGACTAATAGGAATGTAGCTCCAAGATACTCATCTTAACCAGAGGCTGTCTTAGAGGATTGTGAAACAAGTCATGACTTCAGCTCTGGTCTACACAGAGACTGAATAAGATAACAATCTCCTTTTCAGGATTGTTTTAAAGAGTTATGAACTGATGGCTTTGTTAACAGATAGATAGTCCTTGATTTGCGACCAGAATTGGAACCAGAATTTCCAATTGCTAAGTGCTGTGGCTTGCCAGCAGCCAGCAGAGCTGGCAGCAGAGTCAGACAGTGAGGAAGGTGGGCCAGTCCTGGGGAGGGCTCTGCATTGGAGGCAGAGAGGGAGTTAGACAACAGTGAGACAGAAGAACAGCTGGAGCCTGTTCCCAGTGTGCGCATGCGCAGAGCTGTTAGAAGCCAAGAACAACTAAGAAAGCAGGGTCAATTTAAGAGTAAAGCCACACCTTGGAGGTGATTGGCCCCTCCCATAGGAAACAAAAGAGGAGCAAAGGGGGAGGGGGCTTTTGCAGGAAACAATTTGTTCATTCCGTGGTGTCAAGAGTGGGAAATTCTGTTTGTAACTGTAAAAGACTCTGTGCCAAGTTTGGCATTGCCCTGCATTTGGAAACTAGTTATTTGGCAGCTCACCAAACGAGATAAGGTTGGTATTGGATAAACATTCTTCTGAAAGACTGTTTGCTAAGCCTTGCAGACTGTAAATGAAAGGAATTCACAGTCGTGTAAATAAAAGGGGTTTGGCCAGGATCAAGACTCTGCTTCTTGCTATTTAAGGAAGCCTGGGTCAGAACACTAAGCCAGACAGCTGTTAAGTGAGTTGTGCCTGATTTTACAACTTTTTTGACAGAGCTGTTGCTAAGTGAATTATATGGTTGTCAAGTAAATCACATGGTTGTTAAAGAAATCCTGGTTCCCCCTGTTAAATTTGTTGGAAGCCAGTTCTGGAAGAACACAAACAGTGTTCACCCAAACCCAGGATGCTGCAATTGTCATAAATAGATACTGTGCTAAATTCTCAAATGTTAGTTACATGACTGTGGGAATGCTTAGTTAGTCATAAGTGCAACCACTAGTTGTTAAGTCACATTCACAGTGCTGTTGTAACTTTGAACTGTATCTAAACAAATGGTTGTAAGTTGAATAGGATCTCACCATTATATTGTGTATTCGGTTTTGGTATAATGGCTATTGTGAGTTTGCAAACCATTATTATAGCTTAACACATGTATTTAGTCATTAGATTTCTGCCCTGTCTTTCTTCAGGAGTTGAAAGCATCATAATTGCCATTCCCTCCCTCAATCTATCCTCACAGCAAAAAGGTCTAATTAGGTTGGGCTGAAAGAATGATAATGACAACGTCAGAGTCATCCAGTAACCTTCCATGGTCAAAGGTGGACTTAAACACTGATTATAGACAGAAAAACAGTATAAAAATTAGGTAAGTAAGCAAACAAACAAACAAACAGAATGGCATTTGCTATTTGCATGATTGAAATGTCAAAGTATTTTTATATGCACTGTAATATTTATTTGTCTCTTTTATCTATCTACTACTAAAACTCGTCTGTCTGTCTGTCTGTAACCTTTAACTAGGAGGAGCAGTGCATTGCAAGGCAATCATTTTTAAACCAAATTTTAAACCAATTTTTAAACCAAAGTACCACAAATGAGCTAACTGAAAGAATGTCACCAAAATACGGGGCCCATAACGACTTCCATGGAATTGAAATCTGGCAAAATTTAAAATATGTTTTATGATATGAACATTTTCATAAAACGTGATGTAATGCAAACGGTCATTCAAACACTCCTGACACTTGTCTATGGTATATAGTTCAGCATGAATGGTTTTCAAGGCAGTTACTTCTCAGAAATATCTCCCTGATTTTAAGAACTTTTTCAGTACATTAGAACCTGTGTCTTTCTTGAAGGCACTGAAGAATCTGGTAAGGAAATATTTTGAAATGATGACCTAATGGGTCATGGGCTATCCAGTTACTTTTATAAACTCTAGCCAGCGAACATACCTAATATTCCTTACTCGACCTGTTTTCATCACAACAACCCAGTAAGGTGGGTTGTATTGAGAGATAATGTGATTGGTCCAAAATCATTGAACTGCCTTTCATGTCTAAAATGGAACAATAATTCACTGTCTCCCAGTTTCTCGTTTGGTGCCTTAATCACTAAACCAAACTGGCTCATCGTGTGTTTGCATCAACTATATGGTGACAGTCATGAACGTGAACATTTTTACCGCCTTCCTGTGAGTACTACTGAATGTGTCTCTTTTTAATGTGACTCATTGTTAATTTATTTATTAAATTAAAATACCCTGACAATGTATATTCATGAACTGGAATAGGGCTTAGTAACAAGGTCAGCCAATGGGAGCTGAAACAGCTAGGAGCCAGGTTGTGGCTTAGCTCTGTAGCTCTGAGTCTGTGCTGAGCTCAAAACTAGTCTGCTGCTCTGAACTAAAACTGAAACTGTTCTCTCCTCTGCTTGTGTTTGCTTGTATGCTCTATCATGTTGGAAAACCTGCTTCTGATATTATATAATTACTTCATGTGTTATATTATATATAAAGAGAAGTTAATGAATCCTGCTGAATCAGTTACCTATGTGCTCTTTCCAGCTGTGATTGCTTTAGGAAACTCTGACATACCTCACCCACCCCGGTCTGAAGATCAACTGTGGGTGATCTCATAAAATGAGTCTATGTGGTTAAGAAACAAAAATAAATTCTCTATCTTCCCTTTCTTCAGTAATTAGTTTAGATAGAAGTCAGGTTTTTATATCCTGGTTTTTTTCCTTAAAAAAGAAATAGCGAAGAATCAAAAGGAAGACTGCAAAACTAAGTTGCTGCCATTCCACAAATAAAGCTTCCCTGTTGTCTTTACACCCAGGTTAAAAGGTATGAGAACACTGGCATCTACATAAAATAGGGTAAAACTAGCAAGCTTCCAAATTCACTTCCAGTTTTCCATCTTTTTGGGGGTAGATAATAACATCAGATGGAGATGTCTCCAGAAAACCATGAGCTGCATCATGAAAAGTCATTTTGGCAAAGGACTGGTAGTCTAACCCAGAAGTCCTTTTTCATTCCAGCATTTTGGAGTGGCCCAGGAGGGATTTTTTCCTTCTCTGCAGAGTTGTCATGCTTAATGGTTTGTCCTTGCTGTGATGCACAGCAGTGGAAGTGTTCTGTAGGGTCTGGATGCTGTGGCTATGGACAGAGCCAAACTCAATTATCTTATCACCCTCTTACAAAGCCAAAAAGCTTGCTGGAGATCCAGGCAGAATAGCAGAATCACTTGGACCAATGGCAGAAGCAAAGCCTAGTTCTATGCTTCAGCTCAACCCTATCGTTTATCCCTGCCCTGTTTCACCTTTTCTTGGATGACCTTGGTATATTAAGGCACTGTGATCATTCGTAAACAGATGATGTTATGGCTCACTTTCTGGACCTGGCAGATATCCACATTTTGTAGATGCTGATGGAGACAACCTTCAGCATCTACAATAGAATAGAATAGAATAGAATTCTTTATTGGCCCAGTGTGATTGGACACACAAGGAATTGGTCTTTGGTGCATCTGCTCTCAAGTGTACATTAAGAAAAATAAAATACATTCATCAAGAATCATAAGATACAAGTCATAGGTTACTAATAAGCAATCAAATCATACTAGGAAACAAATAAAACAATATACATTGTAAAGATACAAGCAACATGCTTATAGTAAGAGGTGGAATCAGCCGAACTGGTAGTAGCAGTGACAGGAGGCTCCAGCCACCCAGATGCATGCGCAGAAGTGTTGCGCGGGCGTGCAGGAGGTTGCCCGAACCAGTAATAAAAAGATTAGCAAGCCACCTCTGGTTATAGTCATGTGGGAAGTGCCTCACACATCCCAGCACTTTTTTGATCTCACAGGATTTCACAATAAGCCTTAATCTGGGCTTCAGTGTCATCCTGCTTCTTCAGTAGCTTCTGCTTGTTGCATCCTTTGGACTTAACTCACGCAGAGACATTTTCTTAAGAAAAGCAACCAAGAAACCCTGGGAAATCCCGTTGCATAAACTACAGATCATGATAGCGTGCAAAAACAGCTTGGGCCAAGGTGTTTCTTAAGAAATTTAATGAATGTCTGCTAGCATTTAATGTTAGTTGGGCGAACATTATCCCTTATTTGGCATACACAGAATCTACATTATGCGCATTTACCATTTCCTGGGACTTCCCACTGCTCAATGACTCAGATTTTTTTAGCACTCTGCGTATGTTCAGAGCACCTCCTCTAACAAGGTCTCCTGTTGAATTTAAACCGCCAGTAATAAATCACGATCAAACAAATTTTCCAAGTCATCTGAATCCTATTTACACTGTATAAATACATAGAGCCTTTTGTCTGTACCTATATCCATATCCATAACTATATTGTCTACAGTAATTTTGAGATCCACACCCATATCCGTCCAACTGTCTATTTATTTAATTTACTTGTCCGTCCATCTCATATACATGACTTTGGGTGGCTAACCATTTGTTAGTCTGTAACTGCCCTGACTGTTGTAGAGAATATTGATTCCCACTTACTACCCATCACTCAGTCTTATTTTCAGTCACTCACAATTGAAAGATTCTCTACAACCCCATCGCCTTGTTGGAAAAAACAAGAAAAAATCCTAATCTCCAAGAGAACCCATTGTGACCACATCCCCTCTGACTTGTTGCACGTGTTAATTTGCAAAGATATTTGCTCGCCTTTCCCGTCACATCAGCCAGCGTTAAAACTAATGACTCATCCCCCTGCATGGCCATTTGTTTGTGCTGGTTTCAGACAGACTAATGTTTTTAATGGTACATAATCATTTTTCAGAGTCATTTGATGCTACTAATCATCTCAGTAATAGGCCACGATGGAATGTGTAATGACATTGTGAGCAGGAAAAATGGTGTTCTGATCTCCCATGCTATCTTTCCCAGATCTCTATTCCATCCCACCATGCAGCCTAATGGTACTTACAGCAGTTAATAAATGGCTATTTAGACACTTCTTCTAAGGATGATGATAGAGGCTTTTTTTCTTAAAAGAAAGGCATAGCGATTAAAGCTTATGGAACCACAGAAGGTGCTGATCATGGGCTGTCTTCTTTCACCTTGAAACTATTTTCCCAAACTTCCATTTTTAATGTCCTATCGCTTTTGTTGCATCAAATTTGATTGTGGATTATTCTATTGGGTAAAGAAAGCATCAGAGATCCTGCAGCCTCATGGGACTACAAGTTGGAAGATTAATAGAATGCACTTTTCTTGCCCATAACTTATTCGTTCTCTTGTTAAATTAACAAGTGTTTTTTAAAAGCCCATGTTAAGTATTTTAATGAATTTTTAAAAATTGTGGTAAGCGGCTCTTTCTTGGCCTTCTGCCTAACTTGTTAGGCATGAATTAGCACCTTGTTATTCATGCTCCAGCTCATCTGATCACTTAATTAAAAGGACTCTGTCAGGTTAAAAAGAATTGCAATGTGTGTATGTGTAAGCGTGTGCGTCAGAGGTGGTATTCGGCGAGTTCTGACAGGTTCTGGAGAACTAGTAGCAGAAATTTTGAGTAGTTCGGAGAACCAGCAAATAGGCTGGCTCTGCCCCTCCTGCCTCCAAGCCTCCCAGCTGATCTCCTTTTATTGCCCTGAACAGGAGCAGGTTAGTGGGGTGGGGAGGAAATGGGGATTTTGCAGTAACTTTCCCCTGCCACACCCACACAGCCATGCCCACAAAGCCACACCATGCCCACAGTAAAAAATTTGAATCGCACCACTGGTGTTTGTGTGTGTGTGTGTGTGTCGCCATCACTCTGCTTAACAACTAATTCCCTCACCACTGCCAAACCATTCACTAAGGCTGCATTACTATTACTATTAGTTTTCTCATTGTTCCTATCACCCATATCCTCCCACTTATGACTGCAGGATTGCAACTTTGTTGCTTGTATTGTTATGATTTATATTGATATTTTTTCCTGATTGCTTATTTGTACTCTATCGCTATGATTAAATGCTCTACCTTATGATTCTTGACAAATGTATCTTGTCTTTTTATGTACACTGAGAGCATATGCACCAAAGACAAATTCCTTGTGTGTCCAATCACACTTGGCCAATAAAGAATTCTATTCCATTCCATTCCATTCCATTCTATTCTATTCTAAACAAATATCACAGCTTGTTTCATTTGCTGATTTCTGGAATTCCAGATGCCGTTAAAGATGTTGGAGAACATCAAGAAAGTGTTGTGTTTTGGGGTATCAGGATGATTGACAACTCATAATTTATCTTGGAATGTTGCTTGAGAGAGCAGAGCAGTTCTATTTTGGCTTTCAATATAAAAGATAGCAAGACAAGGCACGTAAGAGATTTTTGGTTACTGGTTCCACATTTATTAATCAATACATGTTAGTGTTCCAGCCAAAAGCAATGGCATATATATATTGAAACAGATCAGCTCAATAATAAAAATAATGTTTCTGAATGCAGAAGAGAATTTGTGCATCAGTCTAACCATTGTAAGATATATGAGCTTCTGATGCAGAATCAGAAAGATCCATTTTGGACAAGATGTACGATAAGGCAGTGCAAAACTTGTAATTTATCTCTCCTTATTTCTCTATAATGGCCATAAAATGCCTGTCTTTGCTTTCCCTTGCACCGTTCTTCTGAAGCATCAATTTTCACCATATGGTTTCCTCTCTCTCCCCTTAGTTGGAAGCTTTTCCTCTGGAACTTTTATTTTCTTCTGCTATTGGTAAATAATGCCTGATTGGTCATGGTTGGAAAAAGAATATGGGTCACATGACTAAAAGTATCAAGAGAAGAGAAGCTTGTCTTTATGGCAGTTAATACCACCATTCAAGTTCAGGGACAAATTTGATATCTCAGCCTGAGGATATTAGTGGTGTCCTGATGTCCAATCCCTTTGTGTTTAAGCAGTGTCTCAGGCCTTCTCAGTCATCCGAGTCAACATGACCTTGGATTTGGTGGTGCACACTGGAGAGATGCAGAATGCCTTCTGTGCTATAAATTACTGACATTTAACATTTGTAAAGGGATATTTTTAAAAAACCTGAGAAGTTCATGCCCTTTTTTTATTTACTTGCCAGATTTATATAGCTGCCCAATGTACACACAGTGACTCCTTATTCTCTTCCTTCTTTCTTATTTCCTTACATCCCTTATCCCAGGGGTGTCAAACTCGTGCCCCATGGGCTGGATGTGTCATCCACTGGCCATGCCCATGCCTTGTTTAGAGAAGGAGAAAAAAGTCACGATACATCATGTGAAGTGACGCGAGATTGACATCCATGATGTATCTCATTTTAAATACTACATCAGTTTAGTCATCCTATACATCTGCTGAAGTGAATTGTAGGTCTTGAAAACATATCCCTTTTAATAAAATATGTTGGTTGGGAAAGGTGCTGCTGGACTCCTTTATGGCTACCATAAAGTAACATGGCTCTCCTCCTATAATGCAATGGGATATGTGTCTTTATCAGCAGAAAGTATTGTGACAATGGAAAGCTTGTGCTCTCTGTCTTCTGTTTTTCTTTAAGAATTGCACTTTGACTATTTTAGGAAGTGGGCTTAAAAGGAGCTAAAACAGAGGCCTTGGGGATCATAGATAAACAAGATGGATGGATGGATGGATGGATGGATGGATGGATAGATGATGGATGGATGGATAGATAGATAGATAGGTGATAGATAGATGGACAGATAGATAGATGATGGATAGATGGATAGATATTGTATTTTTTGGATATTCCCCCCACCCCCCTAAAAGAGGGTGAAAATTTTGGTGCGTCATACACTAAATGTAGCCCCACCCACCCACTGGCCCCAACCCTTTGGCCTCTGCCTTTCAGCAATTTACCTATTTGCAGTAAATGGTGGCTTGCAAGACTTCAATAGGCTATAGTAATCCCTGCAGCCTGAAACAGCTGATGATCGGGAGAAATTGAAAGTGAAACTT